CCACATCAACACAAAACATATAGACTTTAATGGGAAAGAACTTTAGTACAATTAGGAATCAATACAGCAAAGGCAAAGAATATAGTGTCTAAATCAAGAACCCTAAGTTACCCGTCCCCTTGGGGCTAAAAGCCCATCCAAATGGGATTGGCCCAGGGCAAGACCCCAAAGCCTGCCCCAAGTCTAAAGCACCTTCCAGTGGGGACGCACAGAAAAGGACCAGAAACAACCAGACTAGTCTGGAGGGAAAAGAACAATATCAAAAGCAAGACAAAAACCACCAGTCACTTCCCCACGCGTGTCTCACCCACATCTGTGTCACCCAGTCCATGACCAAAAGGCAAGTGCAGTTCCTTCACACGTCTCCTGGCTCCATAGGCCTCCTCCAGGTCTCCTTCTGGCTCCATCCTGCAGAGATTCTCTGCAGCTTCTTCTCTCTGCTCAGCTCCACCCTCCCTGGGTAGGGCAGGAAACCTGGAACCTCCCCCTTTCCAGGGAACCACCCTGTTACAGTAGCAGGTAAGTCCATCTCCTTTCTGGTTGACACGGGGGCTACCTTCTCTGTCCTCCCCTCCTATTCCAGTCAAACTTACCCTTCTCAGGTCTCGGTTACAGGTGTTGCCGGCCTTCCTTCTCAGCCCGGGACCACCGCACCCCTTCAGTGTCAGCTTAATAACAAACCACTGGTCCACTCTTTCCTAGCCATGCCCACGTACCCCACCCCTTTATTAGGACGGGATCTGCTGGCCAATTGGGAGCCGCGATCTCATGGTCTCCTGACCCGGCAGAAGCTTTCATCCTCCCTTGCTACCTGATTGCGATCCCCAAGCCCAGTACACCCCTTTACCGGCAGACTTAGTTAACCCATAAGTATGGGATGTCTCTACCCCAATTGCTGCCACCATCATACCCCAGTCCTCATTCACCTTAAGGATCCCTCTTCTTTTCCCTCTCTTCCCCAGGGGGCGTCCTCACCGTCACTCACCGTCAGGGTCTCAAACCATCATCCAAGGACTCCTGGGAAAGGGACTCCTTACTCCTATCAACCTGCCCTGTAATACTCCCTTTCTCCCCGTTAAAAAGCCTGACGGTTCTTATGGCCTAGTTCAAGACCTTCGCCTCATCAACGAGGCAGTGGTGCCTATCCATCCCGGAGTGCCAACCCCTACACCCTCCTATCTCATGTACATCTTCTACCACACACTTCTCTGTACTTCACTTCAAAGTTGCTCTCTTTACCTTCCCTCAGGATCCTCAAGGTTACTTCCTATTTGCTTTTACTTGGGAAGATCCGGACACACACACCTCCCAGCAACTGGCCTGGACAGTCCTGCCTCAGGGGTTCCGGGACAGCCCTCATCTGTTTGGTCAGGCATGAGCTAGTGATCTCTCGTCATGTCATACTCCACCCCGCACTCTCCTCCAGGATGTTGCTGGCCTCCTCCTCTGCAGTCCTTCTCCGCCACAATCTCAGCAACACACTGCACAACTCCTCACCTTCCTGTGCTCCAAAGGATACCGCGTCTCCCCATCCAACCCCAACTTTCAGTCCTCACAGCCGTCTATCTGGGTCTTCGACTAACTCCTTCCTCCAAACAGCTGACGGTGGACCACAAACAGGCCATCCGGGACCTTCCCTCCCGTGAATCAGCAGAACAAATCCTTTCCTTCCTAGGTTTGGTCGGATTCTTCCGTCACTGGATCCCTAATTTTGCTTTCCCAGCCAAGCCACTGTACGGGGCAGCAAAAGCGTCCCCTGAAGGACATCTCCAATCCCCCAGGAGGTCCGCAGGGCCTTCCTTTTACTCACACATATCCTCCTTGGGGCACCTGCCATTGCCCTTCCTGACCCAGAAAAGCCTTTCCTCCTGTGCACAGACGAACGTCGGGGTATGGCGGCAGGCGGCCTTTCCCGGCCTCTGGGCCCAGCCCTGCATCCTGTCGCTTATCTCTCCAAGCAGATGGATCCCACCGTCAGGGCCTGGCAACCTTGCCTTAGAGCCCTGGCGGCGGCAGCTCTACTCACCCGGGAACCCCTCAAACTTACTCTGGGAAGACCTGTCCAAGCACATGCCTCGCACCGCCTTCAGGCCCTCCTGTCTCCCCGCCCGCTCTCCACTCTCACTCCTGCCCGCTCACAGGACTTCCACGTGCTCTTTATCGAAAACCCTCTGGTGAGTCTCACTCAGTCTAATTCTCTCAACCCAGCCCCTCTTCTGTCTCTGGCCCCCCTTCTGCCGTTCATTCGTGTCCCGAAATCCTGGACGAAATGCAAACCTCCAGACTGGGTTTGGCCGACTCCCCTTGGTCAGATGCCTACTGGGCTCTGTCTGTAGACGGCAGCTCTTGCGAAGGTGCGCGAGGTCAGCGGAGGGCTGCCTAGGCCATGGTTACCCTTGATCAGGTCATCGAGGCAGGAAAGCTGCCCAGAGGAACCACCTCCCGAAAGGCAGAACTCAGAGCACTTACCGGGGCCCCTATATTCAGCAAACCTAAGAAAGTCACCATCTATACGGATTCAACATATGCCTTCCTTATGGCCCACAGTCACACTGCGATTGGCAGGAAAGGGGGTTCCATTACACCAAGGGGTCCCCCATCATGAACGCTAAACTTATCCTTAAGCTTCTAGCGGCCTTGCAGCTTCCAACTGAAGTCGCCATGATCCACTGTGAAGGACACCACACGGACAGTTCTTATGTGACCACAGGGAATAACAGGCTGATGCAGCAGCAAGGGCTCCCAGCACTGACTCTGCTGCAGACCCTGCCCCTATTCTCTATCTGTCCCCTCCATCACTCTGACGTAGGAGCCTAATGAACGCCAATTCCTGAGTTCGCTCTTCTTCCACCCCTCCTTGAGTGCAAAAGTCTGGCAGCTATGTTCCCGTCGTCAAACCTGTGCTCGCACGTCACCTCAAGGGGGAGTTCACCCACCTTCTTCTTTTGCAGTTTGCCAACTGCGTGGACACTTTCCCAGACAGGATTGACCTCTCCCCACTCAGGCAACAGCTCCGGGAACACACAGACCGGTACCTACCCAGTCCTGCCTCGGATCCTAACCTCCTCAACTGACCTTCCCCACCACTGCATCCGGGAGACCGACTCCTGCTCGAATCGCTTCAGCCAAAGCCACTGCAGCCTCCATGGACCGGTCTGCACACGGTCATTCTCCCCACGCCTACAGCGGTAACACTTCTGGGACACCCCTTCTGGCACCATCTCTCTCGGGTCAAACGTGCCCCCGAAGACAAATAGTATGTATGTCATAACCTGGGTCCTACTAGGATGCGCATTTCTTGTAAAATCTCCCCTAGCCCAGTGTCCTAGGTATGGAAATTCAAAGTCAGGGAGACCTTTTTCTCAGGATCCATGGAGACTACCCACTTGGTGGGTACTGCGGATGCCCACAGGCCGGATGCACAGCACCCATCACTCTTACTTCCGTCGATTACTAACCCTACGGACACCTTGTTTTTTTCCTTTTACCATCAAACCTTAGATCAATGCAAAATACCTACAAAGAATATGGGGGGTGCCCTTACCTGTCATGTACAGTGCACCTTCCAGACAAAGGCTTTATGTTCTCTCCAGTCCGTCATAATACGGGTTTCAACACGAAATCAGGTTAACTATCTTTTTCAGATCCTTGGGACCAACACTGGGTACAGGGAGTCCAAGCTGCAGGGTTCACTGGCTGGCATTCCTCCCCAGTGGCAACATTGTCCGTCTCAAGGGAATATGTCCCGACACAAAATGCCACAGTCCAAGTCTCCCAGGACATCCTCCATTCAGAGCAAGTCCTACAAAATCAGCTAACATCATCAGAAAAGACTGAGACACCCTCAACCTGGGTTCATAAAATCCAAAACGCTATACTCTTCCTAAATGATTCTTTTGGGACTAATACCTCCTCTTCTTTCCTCTGTGCTTCCCTTCAGAGGCCTCTACTGGCGGCAGCTCCAATTAATCTCAATACCACTACGACCAAGATAATGGACGCTGCTTGCCAGACTCCCCAACTCTCAGTCCCCCTATGGGACTCCAATCACAGCTACCCCTGCCAGCAAACTGACACCCTTGTCAGCTTTCATTCCTGCTCTTCTAACATTTCGGTTAAAGGATAGACACCTCCTTAGAAAAACCTCTGTCTTTAGCATCATCACAAAGACAGCTCCCCTCCCTGGCACAGGCCACGCTCCAAAACCGGTGGGCTCTCGAACTGTCAACGGCTGGTAAGGGGGGAACCTGCCTGTTCCTCAGGGAAGAATGTTGTTACTATATCAGTGAGTCAGTGATTGTTAGAACAAAATGTGGAAGCCTTCATGAAACTATGCAAAGACGTGGAAAGGGAAAGCGGGGGCTCCAACTCTCTGCTGACGTGGTTTCAAAATCCTATAGTGTTATGGCTCCTCCCACTCTTGGGGCCAATATTAATGATAACTTTACTTTTTTTTTCTTTTTGCTCCCTGTCTCCTAAAATTCACACAGGCTCGCATTCAGGAAATGTCTCCTACCACCTTTAACCAACTTTTGCTCCACCCATATTCTCGCAGCCCTGCAGAAGACCCTCATAAGCAGGCCTGAGCCACCCCCTTGGCTCTCTGCCAGAACCAGGGAGCAGTGATGAGGGAGGAGCACCCAGAGAAGGAGTCCATAAGCAGTCTGGCCTGGGACAAAGAGGAGCAGAGAATGTGCATGAGAGGGCAAGCGGTGGAGTCACAATCCCTGGGAACCATCCAACGTCACATCAAGAGCTGGGTGCTTGATCTGTTGGGCCAACCCCCAGGACTAACCCCCTTTCAGGTTTCCCTTGTGGCCTCAGATTACCAATCTGAAGGGGACTTGAGGCCATGGGACCCGACCATGGACAGGGTTCAGTCTTGCTTGCTCTGTACTGTACCCCGCCTTTAAACACTGAGCGCCTACAAAGCCTACGCTTCCCTAGTAAACTTGAAGCATTGACAACCGCTCTGGGTGACACTGGGAAGAATTGTTTAGTTTGATTTTCTGTGGGGTTTCTATTTCTCCACAGAGACTTTCCAATTTTTGTCTGACTTCTCCATCTCACATTCTAATTCCTTATGACCCTGGGGCCAGAGTGCCCCCAAATCAGTGCTCTTTAGAGTGATCTATTTATCCTCTGTGGATCAGATCCCAGCAAACTGACCTTCCCAGTTGGGAATCTTCTCCCAGTCATCTCAACATGGGTTGCTCTGCTCGCCACAGAATAAACAGGCGACTGAAGCATCAATTCTGCTTCATTCTCTTGAGAAAAAAAAGCCTTGTGTGTTAATGTACATATGCGTACATAAGTGAGATTGTAACAGATTGCTCTGAAATGTGCCTGGCTGTGCCCCTGGCTGTCCCCTCACTGCCTCCTGCCATCAGCATCCATTGGTGCAGGAGCTTGAGCAGCGCTGTTAATGGGTAACATGTATAAGAAAGGGCCCTGATGTCTGAGTACTCACATGCTTGCTTTTCCACCTGTGCTGGCTTTGCCCGCTGGCAGCTACTGATTCATGGCATCCCGGAAGTTCAAATCTGAAGACTGAGTGTAAATTCCTAAACATTTTTTCTTTAATCCATGTTATCAGTCCATTTCTTCATCATTGTGGGGGCGGTACTACTCACAGCACCTGCTAGAGTTCTGGTGGCATGAAGTCAGGTGGCAAATTTAACGTGTAAAGTGGGGTGTGAGTACAGGGGCTTGCAGTTCTCGTGAGCCTCAACTCTCTTTGAGAGTTGAGAGACTCTGCAGTTGAGAGACTACAAAAGGAAAACAGCTTGGGGTCTCCTGCAGGAGTTAAGAAAAAAAAGAAGACACTTGGCAGTAGGCCAGAGACGACTGCTTCTGGTGGTTGTGAGTCATCGAAAGATGTAAGTCTTGCTCAGCCAGGCTTCCTGGGAGGGGGTGCTCCAGGGCAGCTGAGTGAGTGGTTAAGACCATGAAAGAAGTGGGTAAGAACCCTGGGTCTGAGTGCTGCCTCTCCATAGCTCTGTTGGGGATCTGATTTGGGACAACACTGTTTAAGCTCTTTGTACACATGTGAGTCAGGGTGCTACAGTTCTACTTAAATCTAGGCAGCATCCATGAGATGATTGTGCATTCATTCCTTCGTGCGGGGCCTGGTGCGCAGTAAACCTTCAGTACAGGGCGTCGCTATGGACTTCTTGCTCTGGCAATTTCTCTCATCGCCAGCCTCTAGGTGATGCCAGTCAGTGAGGACACCCTCTCCCTTAGGGAGGCACAGATGAGCCCCGGGTGCTTGAGATTAGGCAACCTCTGAGGTGGGCGTCTGTCTTTGCCACCTGCTTGTTGGGTGATCACAGGGAAAATCACATCCTTCGTGGGTCTCAGTTTCCTCACCTGGAAGATGGTATTGTTGGGCCAAATCAGTGTCTTCCAGCCTGATTTGGTAGCTTTGATCATCTCTTGGTTCACATTGCTTTCTGCCTCAGGCGAGGCGGAGAGTGGCCGTTTGGAAAGATGGCACAGGCCGTGGTATGGATCTGTCACCCTTGTCTCCGGCATCCATTGTCCAGAGCTGCTCTTTTTCTTTCTCTGACCTTCTTTTATTCTCTAAGTCACTTTTCTTTTCCTCCCTTTGCCCTTGTTTTTCCCTTTTCACCTCCTGTAGATTCAGGACATTCTGCACGTGCTGGTGGCCGACCTTAACCGCTCCAATGGGGTAGCGCTACCCCCATTGGACAGGAGAAAGGTGAGGCCGTGCCAAGACCCACTCTCTGGCATGGCCTCTCCCAGTGGGCATGCCCGAGGCTTGTCTGGTTGGGGTACTTGGCCTCTGGCTGATTTTATGTTGCCATCATTAACCCTCGGCGTGTCCATGTCTGCTATTTCACCTGCTTGGTTGGTTGTTGTTTTCCTTCCCGCACATCTTTATCATCTTGGAGAAGATACAATACAACGTGAAGGGCTTCCCAGCAGTGTGAGAGATTTGGGCCTTCCAAGCCTCCAGGGTGAATGCTCAGGGGCCCGTCCTACTGGGAGAGCATCAATAAATCCCCGCCCCAAACACAGAGCTTGCTACCTGGGCATGTCCCACAAAGACCAACAGTCCACACTCCAGCTGGTTTTTCAAAGTGATGAATTCATTTTAGCTTAGGAGTGGGAAATGCAGGCTTAGGAGAAAGGGGGCTTTTGTTACAGGTGCAAGGATTAAGGTGAGTTTTGTAGCAGAACTGCAAGTACGTGAGGTTAACCAGAGATGAGTGACTGGGACTTTCTCCCCCGCTGTCTTTTAAAAATCAACTGGACACTTATCCATCTCCCATGGGCCCTTGGCAGCAGACTCTTTGCTAGGAGGCAAGGTGGGATGTGGCAACTGAGGGAGCAGTTGGCTCTGAAGGGTCTGGAGGCTGGAGGAGTGGCCTTTGAGACTGATGTGTAGAGGTGGGCAGTGTTCATCTCCGTGGAGAGCGGGTGACATGGGAGTCCCAGGCAGAGGGTGGGTGCAGGAGATGATCAGGATCCGGAGCCCAGGGAGCGCTTGCCAAGAAGGTAAGGTGCCTGGGTTGCCCTGGGCTGGAAGATTACCTCATCCCGATGTGGGAGGGGCACTGAGCTCTGGGTCTCCAACTGCATTGGGTGGCATCTCATTGTTTCTTCTGTCTGTCCAGTCCCATCAGAACATGGAGGTGACCGGCTCGCTCCAAATGGAGCAGCACACCAAGAGCGAGCTGGCCATGAATCTCGGCCAGCCGCAGGAGAAGCTGACAGAGCTAAAGGAGCTGGTAAGTCCTGTGCCAGCTGGGAAGGGCTCGGAGGCCTCTGGGAGGGAGGTCCTTAGGCCAGGACAGAGGTAGCTCCAACTCAGGGCTGGGGGGCACCAGTGACCCTGCAGTCCTGCCAGATCCGTGACCACCTGTGCCCTAGGCTCTGACATGAAGTGGTGGGTTCCCCGGGACTGCAGGTCACCTGCCCCGCTGGAGGTTGAGTCAGTAGGGGAGAGACGAGGAGACGTGGAGACATCCTGGTTCCAGACTTGGCTCCGGGGTTGCGCTTCACTGAACAAGGCTGAGCCTCAGCATCCTTCACTTCAGAGAGCACTAGAAAGCAGTTCTGCTGCAGTTGAAGGAAGGGGCCTGGGCAGGTGGCAAAGTCCCACAGTGCCTGTCCCCCTCCATTTGTGGGTGCAGATCTGGGAGGTGCCTCGGTGGTCTCCACTCTGTTGCTCCACCACAAGTCCGTTGAGGCAGTTGCTCTTCAGAACTGCCCTTTTCTGCAAGCTTCCTGGGTTAGGGGCAGGACCAATCAGGTGGAAGCTATGAGCTGATTGGTGCTAAGTGGTCCAGTCAGCCAAGGATGAAAATGGTCCAGGGCCTCCCTGGTGGCCTAGGGGTTAAGTCTTGGCACCCATCATCACTACTGCCTGAGTTTGATCCCTTTCTGGGATGTGACCCACAGGGCACAGCAGACCTCTCCTGCCTTGCCGGCTGCTCCCCTCAGCAGTGTGTTTCAGTCAATCTGCCTGTTCTGCTCACTCTACACCTCTGGCCAATACCCCAGTTCTTCTGCACAAAAAAAGAAAAATGGTCCAACCAGACATGATGTTGGGACACCCTGAAGAGTGATATAAGCCAGGGTTAGAGGGAGCTGAGGGGCTCTGTTCCAACCTCCAAAGAAAGAAGGGGAAGACTCTGTTCCTGGCCTCTGAAGAAAGGAGGGCCAAAAGCTAAAAGAAGAAAAGCAGCATCCAGTAGCCAACCTCTGCAGGAGGAAGAGAGGATGAAGACCTCTGTCAGAGACTGGGCCTCCAGTCCTGTGTCTGACATCACCTGAAAGGAGCACCAAAGGCTCCGGGCCTCATGTCTGAAAGAGCTATTTGTTGTTGGTGTTGTCCAGCAACTCACAAAGAACTTTTTAACACTTTGTGTCTCTGACATCAGCTGGGATCCCAACTGAAAAGGGTAGTCACAGGGCATGAATGGGATGCCAGGATAGGCCACAGTGGCACCCACCTGCCCAGGCTCTAAGACAAGAGAGCTGCCAAAAAGACCTAAAGTCAAAACCAAAGCCTGGAGCAATACAGACCCCATACGATAGGGGCCTACAGGTTAGAGCCGATGGAAGGATAGTGCCCGGTAGGGGACTCATCACTGTGGTTCTCAACCGTGTGCACAATTGCAAGAGACTTCAGCCTCTGTAAACAACCACCTTGGGGTTTATTTTACAAACGCGAAACAGAGCTTACTGTTGCCACAAGTGGTGTCTACCTCAGCCAGGTACTGTCCACCAGAAGTACAAGTAGGGTTCCAATTCCTGTCACCAGGAGTGCTGAGCAGCACTGGTCGGTAGTGATGGTCACTACTGGTCTCCCCGAGGTAGCACCTAGCAGAGGCAGCTGGGTTCCAGTGACAATTTGGAGGCCAACTGCCACCTGCCCTCACCCCCCACGTCTTCCCTGCAGGTGGAGGAGAAATATCAAGAGGCTCAGGAGCTGCAGCAGCAGCGGGACCAGTACTTTAGTCACCTTCAGCAGTACATGGCCACCTACCAGCAGCTCATGGCCGCCTACCAGCAGCTGGCCAACGAGAAGGACGTCCTGCAGAAGCAGGTGCTACTTAACACCCAGCTTGTCAACTGGATGCAGCATGAAGAGCAGGGCAAGATGGAGGTCGAGTTGGCCCGCCAAGAGCTGCTGGAAACACAGGTGGGGCAGTTGGAGTGCCAGACACCCTATGGCCACCCGAGCAGGAAGACCTGCGAGCAGCATCCCTTCTCACTCTTTCCTGCCGGCCCCACTGAATCTCCTGGCTCGGACTGGAGAAAGTGAGTGGGACTTCAGCAGAGGAGGGGTTTGCAAGAGTGGAAGCCACCCTTAGGACAACTTGGATCCTTCTCCTTTGGGGACTTGCTGGCGCAGGGTTGCACAGAGAGGAGGGAGCAGAGCTTGCTGGCTTTCAGGGATGCTTCAGAACCCAGGTGTTCTTTGATCCCCTCTGGCTGCCCCCCAACAGTAAATGGACTGAGCAGTGAGGAGGAGGAGGAAGAGGAGAACAAGGGTCCCCTGCCAAAGCTAAGCATCCCTGACGACCTAGACAGCCGCGAGGCCACGGCGAGCTCGGCCCCAGAGCCCCTTCCCTGCCCCACCTTCCCCCCCCACCCTTCTCTTTGGTTTCCCTCCCTTTGATTAAGCTTCCCCCCACCTCTGCTGGGGACCAGTGGGCGGACACCAACACCATCCTCGAATCTCAGGTGTGCCCACGGAGGCCCTGAGAGGTGTGCCTCCCAGCCCCCTGCCCGACCCTCAGGGACACCCTGCTCCTCTGGCCCACAGATGGCATTTTGTAACTCGGCCTTGGCCAGTGCTGAGGAAGAGCGGCACGGCTATGCGGGCGGCTCAAGGAGCAAAAGCTGCTCTGCCAGTTCCTGGCTCAGCAGACAGCCCCATGGGACCAGGAGCCCAAGAAGATGGAGGCCCCAGCCCCCGCCACCCTGGGGGGAGAGTGTGCCTGGGGAGACCCACCAGGCCCTTCAGGGAGCCGTGGAGAAACTGCAGGTGAGTGTGTGTAAGGCAGGAAGGAATGGCCCCAGGGCAGGTTTTCTGATCCAGCAGACCAGGTACAGTAGAAGTGAGTCCTGGAAGCCTCAGTGACTTTTGCAGACTTTTACTGGGATTTACCGGGTACATGGCAGGCAGGGTGCTGGGGGGTCAGGAGGCAGACAGGCCTCCCAGCCCCCAGCAAGTCTTCACTCTTTCTGGGCTCTCCGGCGTTCTCTGGTGGTCTCTGCTGCTCTGCTGTCTCGGTTCTGCTTCTGCTTCTCTGCTGCTGCTGGCGTCCCCGTGACGCCGCCCTTAAAAGCCCAGTCTTGGGCCTCCCCGGTGGCGCAGCGGTTGAGCGCTGGGTTCCGAAGCTGCCCACAGCCTCCGCGGCGCCGGTTTGATTCCTGGCCGCAGGGCGAGGGTCCCACATGGCGCCCGGACCTCTCAGGCCGCCCGCTGCTCCCCTCAGCAGTGTACTTCGGTCCTTCTGCCTCCTCTGCTCCATGCTCTGGCTCTGGTGAATTCTCTCACCCTCCCGCGCTTCTGACTGTACCCAGTGTTTGTATGAATAAATAAATAAATAAATCTTAAAAAAAAAAAAGAGACTGACTTCACAAAGTTCATTTAAAAAAATAAAAATAATAATAAAAGCCCAGTCTTAGCCCCGGTGAATCCCATCTACCTATACCCACACCCTACTCCAGGTGCCGCATCAGGCATGAATTTGGGACCACAGGGTTCCGTCATCCATCCTAATGGCGGGAGGGCAGAAAAGCCTGATACTTTTACCTGCCAGACAGTCTATACGAGTTACACACACGTTTCTCTTGGCGAATATGAACATTGCAGCCATGGCCCACAAAAGCAAATGAAATATATCACAATGTAATATAACAGAACACGAGTAAGTCCAGGCAGGGCACCGACCTAGTGGCAAAAGACTATTGGCACCAGTACATGATCCACCACTTCAGCTGCCGAAGGCACTGCTATGCGAGGGAGGGAACCACTCAGGCATCTGCCTTCACACGCCAGGAGCCCTCAGGCCTCCCGGCCCCCTCCAGCTGGGGTTTCGGCCACAAGCCACACACCGCATCCACCCCCAGGATGCACTCTCTCTTGGGTTGGTGATTCTGTACTCTTTGGGGGTAATCGCCAACCCTCAGGGTTTCTGTCTGCAGTCACTCCAACACTCGGCTTTCATAGCCACCAATGCGACACGCAGGCCCCTGCACTCAGGCCAGCCCACTGCACAAGCACATGGGTCGGGGATCCGTGGATGCAAGCTCCACATGCGGCCTCTCTTGGGTCCCCTCTTTGGCTGTGGGCCCCACCACAAGCCACGTTCCCCGCCCGTCCCCCAGGACGGGCTCCTCAGCTCCTCACCCTCACTCAGCAATGAACAGGGCAACACCCACAGGTGATTTTAAGAGACTCACTGGCCTTCTTTAGCTTACGCAGTGCTTAACAGCCACTCAGGGCTTCCCGAACTTAGCACCAGCTTTTGCCTTCTCACTTGGCTTTTTCTCCTCTGCCTGGATGCTGGGCAATACACTGGCTGCTTTTGGCCACCAAGGCCCACTGGCCACCCCCAGATTCCCATCTCCGGGGGTGTACAATCCCATCCTCCCCCAGGTCCCCCAAAACATATCAAACTTGCCAAGGTCCTCCGCCTTCTGGCGGGATTGTTAGTCCATTAGTCCAAGTTTATCGGCTTTTCCAATTGTCCACACTGGGAGCTCTGAATCGTGGTCCTTTCTTCCCCGACGATTCTTGCTGCCTTGGGGATCATTGGCTGGTCCTCTCCAGGCGAGGTCTCATCCCGCAGCTTCCGGACCTTTTCCATCTCCTGTGCTGCCATGACACGTCCAGCGTTGTCACAGGAACACACAGTCTGCTGCTCCTCAGTCCCTCCCGGTCTTCGGAGGGCTCCATACCGTCTGCACGGATCACCTTGCCGACTTACGCCAATTGTAAGGCAGAAAGGAATGGACACGGGGCAGGTTTTCTGATCCAGCAGACCGAGTCCAGGAGAAGAGATTCCTGGAAGCCTCAGTGGCTTTTGCAGGCTTTTATTGGGATTTACCAGGTACATGGCAAGTAGGGGTGCTGGGGGGGCCAGGAGGCTGACAGGCGTCCCAGCCCCCAGCAAGTCTTCACTCTTTCTGGGCTCTTCGGTGTTCTCTGGTGGTCTCTGCTGCTCTGCTCTCTCAGTTCTGCTTCCGCTTCTCTGCTTCTGCTGGCGTCCCAGGGACGCCACCCTTAAAAGCCCATCCTAGGGCCTCCCCGGTGGCGCAGCGGTTGAGCGCTGGGTTGCGAAGCTGCCCACGGCCTCTGCAGCGCCGGTTCGATCCCCGGCTGCTCCCCGGCCACCGGAGGAGGGTCCCACATGGCGCGCAGACCTCTCCTGCCGCCTGCTGCTCCCCTCAGCAGTGTACTTCGGTCCTCTGCCTGCTCTGCTCCCCGCTCTGGCTCTAGTGAATTCTCTCACCCTCCCGTGCTTCTGACTGTACCCAGTGCATGTATAAACAAAACAAACAAATAAACAAATAAATAAATAAATAAAAATCATGCCTCTATTTAAAAAAAAAAAAAAAGTCATCTTAGCCCAGGTGAATCCCATCTACATATGCCCACACACTACTCCAGGTGCCTGCATCAGGCATGCATTCAGAACCACAGGGTTCCGTCTTCGATCCAAATGGCGGGAGGGCAGAAAAGCCTGATAGTTTTTTCTTACGCTACAGTGTGGTTCTCCGGAGGGCTGGGCGGGCTGGGTGCTGGGCAGGCCAGCACTGCTGAGCCCCTGAGCCCACTGTCTGGCTGCAGGGTCACTTTACCGAGCTCATTCAGGAGAAAGTGGACTTACAAGACTGGATGGAGGAGCTGGAGCATCGATGTATCTGGATGTCTGGATAGACTGACACCATCGGTGAGTGGGGAGGCCTGCGCCCTGCAGCTGGGGTGCTATGCAGAGGCTGGGGAGACCCCAGAAGCTGAGCTGTCTACACACCCTCCCCCTGGGAGAATACATTGCTCTCTACCAGACCCAGAGAGCAGTGATGAGGAAGGAGCACCGAGAGAAGGAGTCCATAAGCCAGCTGGCCCAGAAGAAAGAGGAGATGAAGGTAGTCAGAGCTCTGGCTCCATGGTGGTGCAGCTGGGGGCGGGGCGGGCTTCTGAGTGTCTCTGCTTCCAGGTGAAGCTGTTAGAGCTGCAAGAGCTGGTTTTGTGGCTGGTGCAGGTGCACAACGAATGGCGGGTGAAGTTCCGAGCACCTGCCCAGAACCCTGCTGCTGAGCCCACTAGCGCATGCCTAGCCCCCAAGGAGCTTGGCGCTGCCAGCGGCCAAGGTGAGGAAAGCCCCACACGGGCATCTAGGCAGGAGGAGCACACTCCACCAGGCACACAGCATCCTGTCTCTGTCTCTCTAAAGCACGGAGTGAGGTGATCCTCGTCCACAACGTGCAGCCGACCCAGGGCGAGGCCCAGCTGGGCCTGACTCCCCTCGAGAACACCTCTGTGCAGCAGATCATTCAGCTGCTTCAAGAATGCAAAACCCCCAGGAAGTTGTCACCATTGGAAACAGCCCGTGTATTCCCTTCTTCTACCAGGCTGATGACAACAAGGTGAAGATAATGGTGGTCTAGGCCACCGGCATGGGGCCGGGGGCTCTGCCCCCACCTGGCCCTCACCAACCCATCCCTGTTCCCCAGGCTTCCCCCCCCCCCATCCTTTGGCTCTCCTTCCCAGTCGTCCTTTTATCCCTCGGCTTAAAAAAGGGGTACAACAACTCCCCTATCAAATAGGGGGAAACAGGTGCAGACCCTAGCCTCTTAGGTCAGGGCTGTGTCTTAATCTCTGGGCTATTCATACTTCCAGAGACAAGGAGCTAGAAACATCCAACTAGTTTAGTGGGCTCCCTTCTACAACATAGGGGCTCCTTGATGACCAAATGAATCCTTAAAAGGCCTTCCTGCAGAGGGCCTAGGTTATATCAGGCAATTTGAGGCCACGTGCCCCCCCATGCTACCCCAACCATGTGGAGTGGGGCAGCATTTTGAAGGCCCGAAATGGGGGCTAAGTCCAGACAGAGATACCAGCTGGGGCATGTGGGCACCTACACCTGTCTAGAGTGTAGCCAAGAGATAGCAGTGGTTTATTTGAGACCACCCAGATCCACAAAGGGGTGGCCTTCCCTGCTCCCTTTTGAAATTTCCCCACGGGCCTTTGCACCCAATTTTTTTTTTTTTAATTTTTTGTTGGACTCAATAATTGTTTTGATTTTTCTTTCTTTTTTTCTTTTTACTTTTTGTTGCACCCAATTATTTTGGAGGTGATCCCTATCTGCAGAGGGGAGGCCTCTCCTACTACCTAGCAAAAGTCCCCATGGGAATATGTGCCCGATTATTTTGTAGGCACCCACCTGTTAAGGGGGGGAGCTCTGCTCACTACACAAGTCTTGCGGCTTGAGGTTACCCTGTCCCCCTCACAAAAGTTTCGCGGGCATGAGGGCACCACAATCCTCAAAGGGGTGTCCTCCCCTGTCCCGGCTCACAAAAGGC